CGGGTGCGGCGGCGGGCCCAATCCGCAGGACTGGCGAGGTGCCAGCGACCCCGCGGTTCCCCGACGTTACTGCTATTTTATTTTATTTTTCCCTTTCTGTTCTGTTCGTCGGCTGCGGTAGGAGCGCGTGGGGGGGCGGTGTTATATTCGCAGATTGCCTGGAGTGCAATTACAAACTGTTTTCGCGACCACGCGTGAGCTGCCCATGTTTTTATATAATTTTTGTTTACCTGCTTTTCTTAAAACCGCGCCTCGTTTTGCCTTGGGACGTGGCGTAGTAGGGGGTGACAGGCCCCAAGAGCCTATCTTAGAGGGTACACCGTTGAACTGTYGAAAAACGGACTGCGTTTAAACCCAGATGATGGGMCTTGATGAGTAAAAGTCGAATATTCTGAATTGACTAAGGGYCGGGGCTGATTGACCCCGTGGCCCGGGTTATGTCCTCAGGGACATCCGTTAAACTTGAAATAATGTAGAGAAGGCTGGCGTGGCCACGGGCGCTAGGCGCCGCAGTGGGCAAAGTCACGGGCAGTGGGTGTACCCGCGAACTGTCCGAAACACAGGCCGAAAGACTTTGGCACTACGACGAATGAACCTGTCCGAGGTTCTGCCGCAGGGGTACATGTGAAGCGGGTGGGTAAAACCCGGCAGGATCAGATAACAGCAATGCTGCTATGCCGACTACCTCGTCGGACTTGAGTATAGGGGCGAAAGACTAATCGAACCGTATAGTAGCTGGTTCCCTCCGAAGTCCCTCTCAGTCCGGCTGACTGTCGGGGCAAACAATAGTGCAGCGTGGGTGGCCGGCGCTGTGAGAGCAAAGGCGAGGTGGTACAACGACGGATGAACCCGGACGTGGGCGGGAGCCGGGTGCAGGCGGTGATAGGGAGGACTGGCGATGGAGTAAGGGAGTAGGACAATCGAAGGTGAGGCGGCCGGGCACGCATCAGAGCGGACGGGCAAAGCCGGGCAGAGCCCAAGCAGCAGAGAAAAGGGGGGGGGAATAAGAAAATGAATCTGGCGCTATTCTGCGCCCGATACGTTCGACGGAAACGAGACGAAGGAAAGAACGGGCTTGGACGCCGGCTGTGCACAGTGTGACCGGGACGGGGCAGCAAGAGAAAAGTTAGTCAAGAGCGAAGTATGATTGCAGCACGGAACGAAAGTACCTGGGCGGTGTCGGTGCGAATACCCTTACAAGGGTATTCGCCCTGGTTTTTGCAAGTAACAGAAAATTGTTTGGCTTAAAGTTTAAGTATACCGCGCTAAGCGCGGCTGCGTTTGTAATTGCGTTGACTAGGTGGTTGACCACAACAGCGAGTGTGTGAGTGCGCAGGTTTAAGGCGCCCGTGATTCTTTTCTGTTGTTGATCGTAAGAGTCGGCTCGGACCTCGGTCGTTTTGCTTAGGTGATATTAAATATTATTTCATTTTTTATTAAACCAGGTTTTCAGTGAGCATATACGGACATGCGGTGGATCCAGATGATGGGACCTGATGGATACAGCCAAACATGGACAGCCGGGGCACGGACTTTCGATGGCCGCGCGCGTCGGCATAGGCTGAGGAGTGGCACAGACCGCTTTCGCGACCCGGGACAACCGTGCCGTACCACTTTATTTAGGATTCTGTTACTGCCGGTACCAGGCTTGGGCTTAGCCCTATAGGTTATGACATTGGGCTGACGCTATGGAGGTTCGGGGATCGAGCTCGGTAGGGCATCGGCGCAGCAACTACAGCGAAGCATCGCGGAAGGAACCGATGGGTGGAGGGCCGCCAGGGCTATCCCCTTCGGTTTTGTTTACAGGGGCGGCGGCAGGCCTGATCCGCGGGACTGGCATGGCGCCAGCAGCCCCGCTGTCCCCCAGCTCTATTTTTTTTATTTTTATTCTACTTCTATTTTCCTGTTTTATTTATCAAGCCCCGTTCAAGGACGCGAGACCGCGATGGAATCATGTGGGGGTGTGTTGTATTCGCGGGATTGCCTGTTGTGCAATTACAAATTGTTTTCGTGGCTGCACTGCGGCCGCGCCCTATTTTGCATTAGGACGTGGTGCCGTGGGCGGAAGACGGGGCAATGATTGTTTTAAGGGCCTGCGGGGGCCGTAGCCCGTGGGGTCTGTGGTCGTGGCTTCCCTTGCTTCCCACTGGGAGAACGTCGATACGCCCCGAGCGGGCTGCCGGACGGCGACAGGGAAAATTTGCTGCTACCACCAAGGTCCGTACTGGACCCAGTCCGCTAAGGCCCATGCTCGGGCCTTACGGCAGGCCGAGCCTTTAGTACCGTGGCCAGCTGTTTAAAGGGGAGTCTGGCCAGTGGAAGCTCGAAGGGGTGGTGGGCTTCGAACAACACTGAGGGGGTTGTGGTGACGGCCTGCCGAGCAGTGACCAGCTGCGTATAGGGGTGAAAGACTAATCTAACCGCTTGGTACCTGGTCCTCTCCGAAGTTTCCCTCCGAATGGGTGGAGCCAGTAAGGGTGAGGCCAGAGGGAACTCTGGCTGAGGCTCGCAGTGATACTGAAGTGCAAATAGTTCATCGGGCCTGGGTTTAGGGGCAAAGACTCCGCGACCCGTCTAGCAGTCGATCCCCTCCGAAGATTCGCCAGGCCGACCGGCTGTTGGACCACGCGGTGTGTTGAGTATAGGCAAGGCGGGCAGCGCTGCTCTACAGGTGACGGGGGCCAGCACGGAAGAAAGAGGGCTGGGAGATATGCTGGGCGCAGTGAGACAGAGGGCGGACGGGCGAACTGCGCAGAGCAAAGAGAGGCCAGCAAAAGCTGGCCAAACGTGGACGTAGGTCCCGCCAGATGCATTCGCAGCAGAAGGGTGATGGCGGGGAGACAGGCAGGCCACAACCCGACAGGGGGGACGAGTGTTAAGGTAGCAGAGAGAGAGAGGGAACGGGGCGGAGCGCTGCCGTAAAGAGGAGCGCAGTACAGAGCGTGACGAGTGCAGCGGTAGGTAGCGGGCGCTGCAAAAAGCGAAGGAGGATACCGGAGTGGAGTGCAGAGGGTGAGGCAGCGGGTATCGAGCAGCGACGGAGAGGGATTGGGGCGAGTAGATCGAATGGATCTGGGCGCATTTCCGCACCGGATTCATTCGAGAAGAGAAACTAATGGAGCAAACGGAATGAGGGGGATGAACCGGGCCGAGGTTTAGCGCCAGATACATGCGGAAGACGCGAAGAAAAAGGGAGACCGACAAAACGAGGCTGACGAGCGGGGAAACGGGCGCAGATAGGGATAACAGGAAGATAGGGAAGTGAAAGTGGATGCAGGCGCAAATTTGCGCCAGGTGCATTCAAACGAGAGAGATGACGATGGTGGGGGCCAGGCGCAGCGGAGAAGAGTAACGCCCGCCCGATCCTGGACGAAAACGGGCGGGAGGAGTTTTGAAATAGGGGTTTGGGGGCCGGGCGAACGTGATTAAGAGTTCAGTCCAGGTGTTAGAGGTGTAGGATGAGAAGTTAGTAGAAAAGTGGTGGCGCGGGGCTATGGCAGGAACGAGGAAGAAGGAGATAGAGAAAGGTTAGTCTGCCAACCTTCTGACGGAGTAGAATGGGAGTAGTAGTTAGGTGGGGGTTTTCGGTGTTTGCGAGTTAGACTATGAAGTTAGTTTTAGAAGTAAGTTAGTAGATTTAGAGATAGGGAAGAAAGTTCGTGCGCGGAGATGGCGATGGGAGGGAAGAAGCAAGGGGTGAAACTGTGAATCTCGGCCGTTTCGTGATGAAAACGGGCGAGGGAGGATTCAATTTTGGGGTTTTCGGGGGTCGCGACCCCGATCGTGTAGTTAGTTTGGCCGAAGAGTTAGTAAATAGAAAGTTAGTGGGTAAGCAGAGGGAACAGGAAAACGAGTTGGCAAGGTGCGAATGCACCTAGCCTCATTTTGGCAGCAGATTCGTAACGAATTCGCTTGCCTAAAGAACGTCGGGATGGTAGCGTGTCTTTCTGCAGTTTTTCGATAGATTCATTTCGACTCAGAGGGAGAAGAAGACGAGATTGGACTCACCTGTCTACGGGAGGCTGCGCCCGGGAGGAGTAGCCGTCCGTTGTATAAAGGATGGAGTGAATCTACCCATATCCTCGGGGCAGATTCCGCACGTACCGTTGAGGCAGGCAGTACGAAGTCAGCCGCGGGGCCGGCGGTATAGCCATGATAAATGTCGCTGCCATCCGTTTAACCCACATTTTCGATCGACTCACACCGGCCCTGTGTGACCATCAAGGTGTATGAAGGGGGGCCGAACTGTTGTTAGTGAGGTCGGCATACCCTGGTAGACAGTCTCCAATTGATAAGTGTCGGGCTCGTTGTTGTGACGACCGGCCTGTAGACAGAAGCAGGGGGTGACTACACGGGAAGAGAGGGTGTGCAGGGAACGAGACATGCTTACCTGGCAAAAAAAAAAAAAAAAAAAAAAAGACTGACCGAGTGCGCTAAGAAGAGGGNAAAAAAAAAAAAAAAAAAAAAAAGACTGACCGAGTGCGCTAAGAAGAGGGAGAGAGAGCTTGCCTCGACAGGAGAGAAGGACAGTTGATGAGGCTGGCCACTACGTACTACGCATGAACTGCTGCCGCCGCTGGAGATTGCACACAGAGTGGCTGCTCCGTGCTGTCTGATTGTCATGACTGTGGACTGTGAGCGGAGACTGCAGCTGACCACGACTGTGCGTTGCTGCGGCACCTATGGGCTGTGCCCGGGCAGTTGATGCGGGTTGTTATATGTCGCTGCGTACCGATGGTGACTGTTACAGGCAATTCCGCGACAGCAGTCGGGCGGAGGAGTGTTGGGTCTCGAGGAGATGACTAGGCCTTGCGAGTAGGGGGTTTAGTGCTACAGGTCAGAGGGACGACGGGCGCCCGACTTTGGCCGATTGACTCTGGAGGTGAGCCAAGCTGTTATTATTTGGCTACCATTGCGGGGCCCCGCATCAGCGCAAACACAATTTGTGAGTCGGCCTTTTTTAGGGGACGGCTCAAGCAGGGTTCCCAAAGGCGGTACAAGACGGTAGACAAGAAGTGTCGCTCATTACCCGTCCTCGTTACAGAGGACCAGGAAGAATATTACGAGAGGGAACGAGGGTTGATTCGACGAATGAGGGAAAGTGCTTTAGCAGGGCCATGTCGTATCAACGAAGGGAACGAGAAGGAGTTGATCATAGGGGAATATGATTTCTTGCTGCCTCAGGAGCGAACGTTGATGGTGGAATTAATGAAGAGGAAGCATCGCGCCTACGCATTTAGTGACGAGGAGCGTGGCAGGCTGGATGTAGACAAGATACCTATGATCCGCATCCACACCGTGCCACACGAGCCTTGGAACATGAGAGGGGCGCGATATCCCAATCCTGACGAGGAAAGGAAGGTGGTGGATTATCTCGACGGCAAGATAAGTACTCACGTCGCCGACTATTCAAGTGGACCGTATGTTTCCCCGTGGTTCTGCTTCATTAAGCCTAACGGGACGCTGCGGTGGGTGCAGGATTTGCAAAGACTGAATGCAGTGACCGTGCGAGATGCTGGAGGACTGCCGAATGCAGACGCGCTGTCGGAATCCTGTGCTGGAAGACCTATAATTTCGCTTATAGACCTTTACTCAGGATATGATCAGTTCCCTGTCTACTCGTCGGATAGGCCGGTGACAGCTATGCGCACGCCGCGAGGATTAGTCCACATGAACGTGGCCCCACAAGGGTGGACCAACGCAGTAGCAATGGTCCAACGGGCCATGATTCGGGCCATGCAGTCAGTCAGCCCCCATATCACACAGCCATACATTGACGATTTGGCAGTGAAGGGGCCAACGATGAAAGAGAGCGGCGAAGTCTCACCAGAGGTAAGGCGCTTTGTCTGGAAACACATCCAGGACCTCGAAAAGGTCCTGAGCCTGCTGGAAGAGCATAACCTCACGGCAAGCGGGGCCAAATCCAGACACTGCATGAGGGAAGCGACTATCTTGGGGATCGTCTGCAATGAGAAGGGCCGAAGGCCGGATGTGAAGAAGACGGACAAGATTACTGAGTGGCCAGTTCCGTTCCACTCAATAACTGATGTCAGGAGCTTCCTTGGTACGTGTGGATTTTGGAGGACCTTCGTCAAGAACTTTGCCGCTAAGACTGAACACCTGAGGAAGTTAGTCCGTCAGGATCAGGAATGGGTATGGGGTGAGGAACAAGAAGAGGTGGTGGCAAAAATGAAAGAGGAATTCCGAGAAGGAGGGTTGGTGTTAGGAGCGCCAGATTATGACGCCACAGAGACGCGACCCTTCATTGTCAAAACGGATGCGGGACCGACCGCCTTAGGGGGAGTTCTAATATAGGCAGACATGGAAGGAAAGGAAAGACCCTTGCGATTTGAGAGTCGGACTCTCAGTACGACAGAGAGGAACTACTCTCAGTTCAAGAGGGAGACCCTTGTTGTCCTCCACTGTCTGCGAATCTTCCGGAACTATGTCTTCGGCAGGAGATTTATTTTGAGAGTGGATCCGACCGCCCTGGCCTACTCTCTAAGGAATTACGTTCCATCGGATCCGACGATTGCCAGATGGCTGACATACATCTGGATGTTCAATTTCGAATTAGAACGGATTCCTGGTAGTAAGAACCGGGCAGACGGGCTGAGTCGGATCAACTGGGATAAGCAGGAAGGGGAGGCGGTGGAGAATACGCTCCCAGTTGATGGATTTCTGGATCAGGAAGAAGATGTTCGTCTTCATATCAACAAATGGTCGTCGCGAGTGCCCAGCTGTGTAGGCTATCCTATCTGGCAAGCGCCAAAGGGGTATGAAAGGAGGAATGAGCTAGTCCTTAAGCCCTTTGAGGAAGAAGATCCCTGGGGCGGTAAGGATGTTCAATGGATGATAGAGCTAGCGCTGGCCAGCTCGCATAGCCTGGTGGAGGACATGAGAACGATTGAGGAAGGACCTGGCCAGGTAGAACGGCATGAGGACCTGATGGGAGAAATGTATCTACTCGTCAACACGTTATTGCAGGAAGGCCTCGACCAGTCAGGCTCGTTGAACTCGACAGGAAATGTGGACGGAATGCCCGAGAGCCAGGACGACGAGTTCGAGGAAGGAGAGATTAAGGAGGCTTTTCGTGCAGAGGAGTACGACGGGATCTACCTAGAGTTGGGGCTTCTTTTGTCATGGGAAATGCGGCTAAGAGATGCGAGCGATAGGGCTCAAAGGATGCTGCAGCGCTACTTAGTGCGAGACGGTCACCTTTTTGTGAGAAGGGAAGTGGGGAATCCCATGAGAGTCGTCTGCGGTAGGAATCGTCAGATCGACGTCGTAGCAGCGCTTCACGATGGTATTGCAGGAGGACATCGAGGGGTACAAGCCACGTATGCCAAGATAAGTGAGCTGTACTACTGGGATGGAATGATGGACATGGTCGGAAAATTTTGTCGATCTTGCGTACCCCGCCAGGAGAGATCCCGTTTAAGGCAGGGAGAGCCGCTGCATCCAAGGTTAGAGCGAGAGGTAAGGGCCGTAGTGCATCTCGATCTGCTTTTTATGCCACTTAGGGATCAGGGCTATAACTATATCTTCGATGCGCGCGATATCCTGTCTGGGTTCATAGACGGGCGAGCTATTCGCACAAAGACCGGGTCAGTCCTGGTGAGCTGCATCGAGGAGTACTACCTGCGTTATCCTTTCGTCAGGGAATTCTTAATGGACAGGGGATCAGAGTTTACCTGCCATGAGGTGCAAGAACTGTTAGCAAGATATAGTATGGCAGCCAACTACACCACGACCGCGCACCCCCAGACAAATGCTCCCGTAGAGAGAGGACATAGTACCATTACGAACCTCCTGGCCAAATGGACCGAAGGTAGGCCTAATCAATGGCCAAGATACCTAAGGGCGACTTTCTTTGTCGAGAACATTACAGTAAAGAGATCCACCAAGTACGCACCTGCGACGCTGTGGTACGGAAGGCATGCCACCTTCCCTATCGAAAGCTTTCTTAAGAAGTGGAGGCGCCGGGATCTGGAAGTCAACCTGTCATTTGAAGAGTTGCTCGATATTCGGGCGCGGCAGGTCGGGGCGATAGAAGAAAGGATCCAGGAGGCATCTGATCAGGTGGCGAGAAGCCGTATGAATGATAAGGCCCGATGGGATCAGTCTACGCGAGTGAGGAAAGTACCCTTGGCAGTCGGGGATGTCGTGCTTCTCTACGATACGTCGCTGGAGAAGCAGTGGTCCAGGAAGCTCGATAAGAGATGGTTAGGTCCCTACCGAATCGCACGGATCGGAGACTTCGAAGCGTACCAGATCGAGGAGTTGAATGAGACTGAGTGGAAGGATTGGGTATCTGGAACGCGACTGAAGAAATTTGTGGCGAGAGAAGAGGTAAGAGAGATGACCTGACTGCCTTTAGAATAGAAATAACAGGGTGTGTAGGTTAGGAAGGATGCATGCAGCATAAGCGTGGTCTGGTCTGAGCTTGCTCTGATTATAACCTGCTTGCTTACCCCAAGGTGTGCCTGTTGTCTCCTTCGCCTGTTGTGCAGGTCTGACTTTACGAAGACAACCATGCCAAGAGGAGGGAAGGGGACACGGCCGCCTAAGCGGCCGTTGGGCGCATCAGGAGGATATGAGCGGCATGGGCCTCACCATCGGGAAAGTACTTTTTTCTACAATGATGGGGACATCGAGCTATTTCTGGACAGTTTCTGGGAGCATGCGAGGCGTATGGGATGGACCGTCGCTCAGGCGATTGAGAGATTAAGGGGAGCAGGTAGGCTCGAAGAGCCCATTGCCAGGATTCGTAGGGAGGCGACGACGAGGCAGGAGGTGGAGATGAAGATGGAGGAGTTGCGACCCTTGCCTGTGGGACCTGATGGCAGGCCGATCCGCCTGCAGATTGGAAATGCGTCGGACTTCATCCCCGCGTTTGAGTGGTTCATGCAAGAGCAGGGCATACCGAGAGATGATTGGATGCAGACGCTACCACTCTGGACCAGGAAGGCGGAAAGGCCACTGGCTATGCAGATCAGGGAGATGGCACGAGATTGGGAGAGCTGCAGGGCACATTTGAGAGAGGCCTTTCAACGGCCAGAGCTCCCTCAGCCCAAAGTTGAGAGGCGGCAGAGGAGTCAGACGCCGAGGGACCCTGAGCCCAGGGAGGCGAGACCATCTCGAGGAGGACGGAAGGCCCTAGCCAGGAGAGAGCAGGAGCCAGAGGATGAGGAGCGAGGGGGATACCCTGAGTGTGGGTTGGGGCCAGGGGAGTTCCATCGTTTTACTGAGGGTGGATTGAGGAGGTCGCCAACACACACAGGGGAAGCCACCAGCATCAGAGGGGCCCTTGAGGGAATTGGAGATGCATTTAGATATTTCTCGGTGGAGGGCGTCGCTTCAGGGAGAGGAGCATGGAGAGCAGGCAGAGGAGGTGTTACAAGGGGAGGTGCCACGAGAGGAGGTGCCACAGGGGGAGATACCACGAGAGGAGATGCCGCGGGAGGAGGTACCACAGGAAGAGATCCGGGGTACTCATCAAGAGAGAGGGCTGGGTGATGAGGGGAGACGTGCAGGGAAGGAAGTGATAGAGGTTGGAGAGGACACGCCCCCACAGACGCCAGTAGTGGGTTTGAGACTCGGGGATGCACCAGGAGCACCCGGCAGGCAAAGGAGGGGTTGCAGAGAGAGGAGACCCCTTTACCTTCGTCAGAAAAGGCTCCTTCGCCAGGAGGGAGAGTAGAAAGGAGGAGAGAGAGGGAAGCTGTAAGGAGAGAAGCTTTGATCCTGATTGATAGGCACCTAGCAGCTCATGCCCTGGAGCACCCAGACCTGGAGGAGCCAGCACCTGCAGAGCCACGCCAGGAGTCATGCCAGCCCGAGAAGGAGATGGAAACAGAGATCCCAAAGAGGGTCGACCTCCGCACGAGGGAAAGGGTGCCAGCTGGAGAGACGGCTGAAGAAAAGAGGGCGGGATGAACTAGGCGGATAGATGAGATACGGCAGGAGAGGCAGAGGTTGGAGGCAGCGGGGGAGCTCCCGGAGCAGCAGCAGGAGAGGCAGAGATCGGAGGCAGCAGGAGCACTCTCGGGTCAGCCACCCAGCGCACCAGCTAGGGCCCCAGAGATCCCTGAGATATGGGGGAACTTCTGGGAGCAGAGAGGAGAGGAGCTTCCATCGCCAGTCAGATCCGGGTTTGGGGTGGCCAGGAAGGCGGAAGAAAGGTTAGATCGTAAAATCAAGTTCCTGGCCAAGACCACTTTTGACCGGCACTTGTTATTGGAGGGCGATCTGGCGGGGAAGAAAATGAAGGAGGCCAGCCATGGAGTACGTCTGGAGGCTATGGAGATGGAAATTCAGGAACTTAGGGCTTTGGTGGCCAGCCAGGCAGCTATCATTGAGAGCCTGAAGCAGCGAACCCAGCGAAAGGTTGACAGACCAGAGAGCAGCCGGCAGGGAGAGCAGAGGCAGCCAAGACAGGGACTGCCAGGACAGCGATCTGCGACAGAGCCTCGCCAGGAGCCACCTATGGGGAGGGTTATCCTGGAGTCAGAGAAGGCGAGAGCACAGAGACAGGCGGAGAGAGAGGCATTCGAGTTCAGAGCCCCTACTGAGCTCGCGACGCTGCCAGTAGCAACGGCGGGCCTAGTCGTACCTTTGGCAGTAGAGGAGGGACTCCCAAAATCTAGCAGTGAGCCGGCTCAGGGCTCAGTAGAGGAATTCATGAGCGTGCTCCTTGAGGCGGTGCATACTATGCAGGAGGAGGTGAGTTTGTTTTCACCTGAGCAGAGGATAGAGGAGTCTCTTGAGAGAGAGATGAGGATTGAGGAGGAGGGTGTCATCGAGGGTAGACTCCAGAGGATAGGCACACCTGAGTATGGACCAGAGAAGATTGAGGAGCAGCCCACGGGAGTGCCAGAGGCGACACTCGAGAGGAGGCCTCAGAGGTTGGACGCCCGAGTACGTCCTAGCGACAGAGGATTTGAGAGGCAGACTAGGATCTTGGGCTACTAGATCTGGGTCTGGTGGACCGGTTCCGAGGACAGAGCAGCAGGAAGTCGGTAGTACCGCAGCTCCTCGATCAGAGCAGCAGGGGGGTGTCGGTACCTTGGAGGGATCTTCTTCATCGCCACCTCCTCATCCCAGGAAGAGGAAGTTCAAGAGAAAGGTAGATCAACTATGTTTTTACTGCAAAAGGGACGTGCATCTGGCTTTGGACTGTCTCGAGTTTCTTGAGGATAAGGCAGTAGGGAAGATCTCAGAGGTAGGGGGTAAAATGTATGATAGACAGGGTAGGATAGTAGAGAAGTCCGCAGATGGACTTAGGGCTCAGTTATATAGGCAAAACCAGGAGGAATTGAGGAGGTAAGGCTCGGTTTTGTCTATATAAGTGAGCGAGCATTTTGTGAGGCATCAACTTAGGTTCTGTGTGATACCCTTTTTGACTTAGAAGACATTTTGATGATTGTTGTTAATCTAGATCTGAACTCTAGTATTTCTACTGAGTTGGGGTTTTGAGGGTCAGGGTGGTTTAGATGAGGCATGTACATATTTAGGTGGCCTACGCCCTGGCCTTTGAGAGACAAATCTGACATGTATTTTACGGGTAGTTGTCAGTGTGGGTTTGGTGTGGCTTGAGTTGAGCAAGCTATGATTTGGGGACACTTTCTGTGTGAGACATTGTACTCCCTGAGTGTATATTATGATGAGGTTTCCTTCAGGGACCATTCTTATATGTGACGATTACTTGTCTCTCTCACATGTGTGGTTGTACTCTGATGTATGATGAGTTTGTGTGGACAATGTGTGAAAAACCTTTTATGTATCTTGGGTATTGTGAATATGATTGTAAGTAAAACTGTCTACTCCTCGGTATACTTGTGCGACCTGCCCACGGCAGCTGATAAGGCAGAGTATAAGGGGAGGAAGCGCAGTCCGTCTGTGAAAGTTATCTAAGTTGTGATGAGGACCCATAAGATGGTCTCTCAGTGATGTTCTGTTTTATGATAGGACCCCCTTAGATTTAGGAAAAGAGGGGATGTTTTGTGATATTTTGTGATGTAACAAAACCTCTCGTGACTTTGAGAGAGGGGGTGTTTGGTTTATGATGAGACCCTCGTGATTTCTGGAAGAGGGAATGTATTGTTTTATGGCGAGACCCCTCGCGATTTTTGGAAGAAGGGGTGTTTTTGGTTATGAAGAGAGCCCCTTTTGGATTATTGGAAAAGGGGAGTGGTTTTTGGTTGGAAGACTCATCCTCAGAAATGATTAAATTCATTTATGGCATGACGAGTTGTTTGATGGGTGATAAAGTCTGACGGAAAGGGGCCACTTTTAGTTTGAAATGTTTGAGAAAGTCGCAATGAGTACAGGGCGAGAGATGTCTCAGGGTGGGTGGCTGCTGCCTCTGATCAAGTCAGGGGTCACGGCCTGGTGGATTTAGCGGTGATTTTGCTTGTAAGCGTGCGAAGGAGGCCATGCCTATTGAAGGAGGGCTGGTAAATGTCTTCAGACCCCTGCGTATCGCGCAGTGGGCCTTTGATTTTGTTTTTACGCACCCATTTAACCACTGGTGCTAATTCTGAGACATATTGAAGAAAGGCCAAGCTAACAGAAAAGAAGTTAGTACCTCTAGGGCGTAACCCCATTGGATGGCTGCTAACCGGCGCAACCTGGTTGCGGGACCACGGGGTAAGAGTTTAAGGGGAGTTACCCGCCCCAGGGAAATTACTCCGTGGGATAGTGAAGGTTGAGATTTTGGGAGTGCCTGATTGAGTGTCTATCAGGAGAAACCCTATCGTTGCGTAACCAACGAGGGTACTGTCRTTAAATAACAATGCGGTAGGCCGTAGTCCTGGTCCGATCAACCAGGCTATGGTGGACCAAGATGGAGACCTGGCCTTTCTGTACTAGACTGCAGAAAGAGCRGAGTGGATATTAAGTTTACATATATACTTATATGTATTTGATTGCGAGAGATTTTGAGAAGGAAGGCGAGAGTGCCTTCAAAGGTCTTGGTTAAGGCCCGTGTCCCTAGTTTTTGCCAGGACTAGGGACACCCAACGAGAAGCCGAAGGTTGTCTAGGATCGGGGAGAAGACGATTGGGAAAGTCTTTGGAACTTATGCTGCCTGTGTCCTAATTTCTTGACGGTGTGAGGCCCAGGTTTGAAACCTGGCAGCATATAGTTGTAAATGCATGGTTTGATGGAGGCCTCTACCCTGTGTTTGTCGACTAATCGGATTGGCTCACTTCTTTCGTCAGCATTTAGAGTGTGAATGGATTTATAGCTTTCAGATTTGGCGAAGCGACGGGGACGTCGCTTAATATGGTCCGGTAAGGCTGTCGGTGCGAATACCCTTACAAGGGTGTCCGCCCTGGTTTTTGCAAGTAACAGAAAATTGTTTGGTTTAAAGTTTAAGTATACCGCGCTAAGCGCGGCTGCGTTTGTAGTTGCGTTGACTGGGTGGTTGACCACAATAGCGAGTGCGTGGGCGCGCAGGTTTCAGGCACGCGTGATTCTTTTCTGTTGTTGACCGTAAAGCCGGCCCGGACCTCGGTCGTTTTGCTTAGTGATATTATTATTTATTTTTTTTTTATTAAGCAAGAATTAAGGATATTTTCGTTTGATTGGTACATTTGACCGAGTCAAGCGCGCGTGCAGAGAACGACCTCGACGACGACATCGACAATAACGGCGCGATTTCGTGCGGTAAGCGGGATGTCGTAGGACGACAGCGCGGGGCAATTATGGCAAGGTGTGAGCAAGCCAGCGCGGGCACTGGGAGCCGCACAGGTGTTTGCTGGCCCAAAGCGCCGCGCCACACTACCTCGTATGGTACTCTCTGGGCACTAGTCTCTGGCTTTGGCTTAGCCCTATAGGTTATGACATTTGGGTTGGCAATACAGAGGTTCGGGGATCGAGGACGGCTGACGCCGGCGCGGCAGCAGCAGAGCGGCGTGGAGGAAACCGAAGGGTTGAGGGCCCTGTGGGGCTATTCCCCCCCGTTTTGCTTTCGGGTGCGGCGGCGGGCCCAATCCGCAAGACTCGCGAGGTGCCAGCGACCCCGCGGTTCCCCGATGTTACTGCTATTTTATTTTATTTTCCCCTTTCGGTTCTGTTCGTCGGCTGCGGTAGGAGCGCGTGGGGGGGGGGGTGTTATATTCGCATATTGCCTGGAGTGCAATTACAAACTGTTTTCGCGACCACGCCTGAGCTGCCCATGTTTTTATATAATTTTTGTTTACCTGTTTTACTTAAAACCGCGCCTCGTTTTGCCTTGGGACGTGCCGTAGTAGGGGGTGACAGGCCTCAAGAGCCTATCTTAGAGGGTACACCGTTGAACTGTCGAAAAACGGACTGCGTTTAAACCCAGATGATGGGCCTTGATGAGTAAAAGTCGAATATTCTGAATTGACTAAGGGTCGGGGCTGATTGACCCCGTGGCCCGGGTTATGTCCTTCGGGACATCCGTTAAACTTGAAATAATGTAGAGAAGGCTGGCGTGGCTACGGGCGCTAGGCGCCGTAGTGGGCAAAGTCACGGGCAGTGGGTGTACCCGCGAACTGTCCGAAACACAGGCCGAAAGGCTTTGGCACTACGACGAATGAACCTGTCCGAGGTTCTGCCGCAGGGGTACATGTGAAGCGGGTGGGTAAAACCCGGCAGGATCAGATAACAGCAATGCTGCTATGTCGACTACCTCGTCGGACTTGGGTATAGGGGCGAAAGACTAATCGAACCGTATAGTAGCTGGTTCCCTCCGAAGTCCCTCTCAGGCCGACTGACTGTCGGGGCAAACGATAGTGCAGCATGGGTGGCCGGCGCTGTGAGAGCAAAGGCGGGGTGGTACAACGACGGATGAACCCGGACGTGGGCGGGAGCCGGGTGCGGGCGGTGATATGGAGGACTGGCGATGGAGTAAGGGAGTTGGACAATCGAAGGTGAGGCGGCCGGGCACGCATCGGAGCAGACGGGCAAAGCCGGGCAGAGCCCAAGCAGCAGAGAAAAAGGGGGGGAATAAGAAAATGAATCTGACGCTATTCTGCGCCCGATACATTCGATGGAAAGGAGACGAAGGAAAAAACGGGCTTGCACGCCGGCTGTGCAGAGTGGGACCGGGACGGGGCAGCAAGAGAAAAGTTAGTTAAAAGCGAAGTATGATTGCAGCACGGAACGAAAGTACCTGGGCGAGATCCGCGCCAAGGTGCATTCGAATGTAAAGGTGAAGATGGCGGAGTGGAACGGGAGCCTGGGGGAAGGAGGATTCGAGTTCTCACCCGATTCTTAAGGAAATCGGGTGAACCAAGGATCAAGGTTGGAGGTTTCGGGTCGGGCGAACCCGATTTTTGAGTTAGTTTTGGATGAAAATTAGCGAAGAAGGAGATTAGAAGAGAATGGGATGCGCGGAAATGGCAGGAGCAAAGAAGGAGAGAGAGGAGGAATCATGGATCTTGCCCGTTTCTTAGCGAAATCGGGCAAGGGAGGGTTCGTTTCTGGGGGTGTGGAGTATTGCGAGTAAGAATACGCGGTTAGCTTTGGTAGAAAGTTAGTGAGTTAGGGGGTAGAAGAAGAAGGGGGTGAGTGGAGGTTCGTGCAAACGGGATATGGCGAGAGAAAAAGGGGGCGTGGCATACTCGTTTTGACGGGAATGAGGGAATGGAGACCGTAGGCAAGGGTTTTAATAGCGGACGAATCCGATAGTAACATCGGATCTGAAGGGCGGTGAGTGATCTTAGTTATAAAGGAGGTGGGGGCTGCGCCCAAGTAGGAAGGCCGCTTCAAGGTGGCATGAATCTTCCCGCATTTCGAGGAAGATTCACCCCCTCTCATAAAGGGGCGGTCTGGCAGGACTTAGCGAAGAGTCTGGAGCGGAAGGAGAGCGGGGTTGGCAAGAGAGAAGAGGAAGCGAGAGGGAGGATGAGTGAAAGGGGGACACGCACCTAACAGACGGAGGTGCCCATTCGGATGATCCAAGAATCAGCCTATAGCGGCGAACTACAGCGGCCCACCCCGATATTTCGGGGAATTAGCAACTACGGAGCAGGCYGCGGGTGCGG